AATAATTAGCCATAAAAAGAAAGAAATGTCCCTTTTGCATGGGGATCAAGAACAATCAGCAAGCATTAAACAGTCAAGGTCAAACTCCCCTATAGTCTTCTGTAAATACAAAGGGAAACACTACATTTGCTTAACTGCAGTGAGGGAGATTTAGATGAGACATTAAAATCTTTTCTAACAGTAAAGATAGTTAGTTAAGCACTGGAACAGATGGTCTAGGGAGACTGTGGAGTTGCTATCACCAAAAGTTTTCAGAACAGGTTAGAAAAACATCTGTCTGCAATATTACAGGTACAGGTAACTCTGCCTGGAGGTCTAGATAACCTCATAACAGCCTTTCTAGACTTATTTTTAAAGATTCTGCAGAAAAGCAGACAAACTTAGGTAGAAGACTTGAGAAAGTAGAAACTGGCAACATACAAAGTATTTCCTACTTACTTCAACATTTCCTATTTACAAGCTTTGGTTCAAACATTCCTGTATCGATTCAGTGATTTACAGTCATTTCCTAAACCATCTCTGGTAAAGACAGTATTAAAAACATGAATAAAAATGTCACTATCTTCACTGTCTAAATACCTGTGTCTGAGAGGGAACGTGCAGCTCAGATTCCAACTGTTGAGCTGGATACGTCCACCTCAGCTTTGATTTCCTTGCTGAAACCATGGAGCTGCTGGATGGAAGTGGTGCAATGTTCCCTTTACTAGAGGAATATTTGCCATAAATTGCTTCCTTTGAGTTTGGGAAGGTGATGGTGTCTGTATTCTCAGAGTCCACCCTACTACTCATCTCTCCTGTTCCAAAGAAAAAAATTGCTCATAGGTTTCATTGTTAAAAGAAGTGCAACAGCAGCATCTAATTTATGTTCTACCACCTACCATCAGGTACTGACATGCTCCAGTCTGTTCTCACGTCCAAGCAGGTTGTAATTTTCAGGAGTTATCATCAAAAAACATTGATGAATGCCACTGGATGGCCATAAACCAAACCATGCTACAACAGGTTGCTATTGTAAAGACTGAGATGAGGCTATAGGAAAATGTATCACAGTTTTCATCTATAACGTTCTAAAGTTTGTTAATATTCCAGCCAACAATACACCCAGGATAACAACATCAAAATATTAGCACTTATACTCCAGGTTATTCCATATATAATTTTAGTTTTCAACCACCCTTTTTCATTAAGAAAACTTTTCACATTTATGGGATTGCTACTGAGCCCACTGCTCAATTTGCTTATGCTCCTTTCCATACTCATCTCTTCAGATTCAGGTGCTTAGAATTTGAAATATGCAGACAGGAATCTACCAGGACTTCAGTAATGAACAGGGAGCAAAGCCTCACAGGGATTAAGAAAGCTGATTCCCGTTCAGCTGCAAGACACAGGATGCTCGTGTACATCTCTAGTATTCTTAAGAATTTGAATGAGTGCTCATTAGAAAGTTGTTTCCTTGTGAGATAAAACAAGGGCCTGAAAGTAAAGTTGGAGATGCAGTTGTGGTTGTTATCTGTCCTTTGTACTCACCAACAGCTGACTTCTTGTGCTGCCAGTGAAATTCATGGAAAGACTCTGATTTGGGTAGAATAGGAGGTGCCTGGAGAGTTATTTTTGCTGCTGGAGGGATAAGCCTTTGTTCAGTTAGGCTCAGAATACCTACAAGAAGATGACATTACTGACCAATTCATATACATTCCAGCTATGAAAGAAAAAGAATTAGTAAAAATAAAGAATCAAAAGCAGGCTCAAGTTTTTCCAATTCCAAATAAAAACTAGAAAAGCAGCAGTTTTCTTTTGTTGCAAGATTCTTATTGTTCAATATTCAACCTTTTCCCTTCAAGGAGGGTGAACTTTTCCTACAAAAATTAACAAATACATGAAATATATTGTAATGATGCTAATTCCTAGAAGGAATCAGGTGCTTGTACAATGGCAATTTAACAGGCAGAATGGATGAGAATTAACTCTTGGAAAACACAATGTAATAATAAATATGGACTGATTGCTAAAAGAGTCCAAGTGCAGGTCTAGTTAAGATTGATTAAAAACCAGACATTAATAATGACTACTTTGGCCATGTTATTTAGTCACACAAGAATCCTCCATTACATGCAATTCTTCTTTCCAGTAACAACTGAATTACAAGATAACTGGCTCTGGGAGGATGATGCTCAACATAACATATACTACATCCTAAGTTAGCTGCCACATGGAGTAAGTAAGTAGTTTGAAGTTGATCTCTACCCTTTGCAACATTTGAGACCACAATTCTTACAAGCTTTGAGGTGCCAGAAGATTTGATTGACCAGATACCTGCTGCAAACAGCAAACAACCCTGCTTAGGTAGCACACACCTGTACAGCACCCAGGTGGGCTTCTGGGACTCACCTTTCGCTGTTTCTTCTTCTAACAGGGGTAAGGGAGAATCCATGTGGGGAGAGGCAGGCAAATGACAAAGGTTGCTAACCATATGATTTTTCATTATCTTCTGCCTACACATCTAGGAAGAGACAGAATCTTCTTTTAACAAAGAGAAATTCTGGATTTGCAAAGACACACTTCTCTACTCCTGCAATAATAAATAATAAATATAATCTCTGCAGAGAATAGTTTCATTAAGATTTAATAATTTAACACTACAAGCACTGCTTTTACTACTTATGAACATGCTACAGAATTGTCTGCTGTCATTACTTTAGCAATTTAAAATAAAGTTAATTAAATCCAATTGATGCTTTGTGACTTCTGCTATGCAAAAATCAGTGTACTAGTTAATAAAGAAATCACAAGAAGTTTGCTCAGTTTTAATGAGCAGAGTGTAAACATATTATTTCTTGACAGAACAGTCTTTAAATATATCAAATGCATACACAGGCAAGGTAACAGAAAAGGAAGTACTTTCAAACATGTAAATAAATTTTCACTGGAAAGAATAACAATGGAATTAAAATATGTGAAACTACTCACAAATCCAGTAAGTATCACAGACTTCTGAAGTTTCAGAGTTCCTCAGACAGCAGGGAATGACACAGCCTGATAATGTGATGTGGAAACACGTGCCACACTGGCTGTGCTAATGTGGGGATTAAAGCTCCTTTACTTCCCCAATTAACCTGTGTTTGCCTGAAAAAATGGAACCTGCTGGTTCTAAGTGCCAGGAATTCAAGCAGTGACACACACATTGCTTTGGGATGGTGATAGAATGTGTCTTACTCTTAGTTATTATCACACATATAGAGCATTGCACAGGGAAGAGAATAAATTGTCACCTTATACTTTGGTATTATAAATACAAAAACTCTGTGTTATCATCTAACAGTTTTTTCTCTCTCCAATATTCTAAGTATTTTCAGTTTCTTTCTGACTAGGAATGTGTGTACTATTCCATTTGCAATGTAGGTTGGACTCAACTCCTAAAGAAACAGGTCGATATTCCGTGGGTTTAAAGCGTTACAGCAACTTCAGGCAAGTAACATCGTTGAGATCTCTCACTTGATAAGAGTAAACCACCACCAGAAGATTATATTGTTTCCTCTCACCTGGCTGATGCTAGAAAAATGAGACAGTGATAAACCTAGAGAGACTTGAAAAATAAACTCAAATGTTTTATGAAACGAAAGGTAAAGTTAACACTAGTCTATCAAACCTTACTCTGACAACAGATTTTTGGAAATCTAAATAAAGGTTTCTTAGTTTCAGCAGCTAAACTACCCAGGGATCAGGTGTGCTGCTCAGAACTTCCTCTGCAACTGCAACTCCACAGGTTCTCCAGTAACTTTCATGCTGGGTCAAGGCAACACAAGAAGGAAGCGACTAAATTTGAATGAATAGGATAAATAGGTGCCAATACACAGGTACAAATATCAGTCTCAAGAAGAAGAAAGGTAGTTGGAGGGGCACACAGGTCTTTGAGCAAACATGAAAGCCAGCAGGCAGATTGGAGAAGGAAAAAGACCTGGGGGCAGCAGGGTTAGGGAAGAATATTGGAAAAGGCTGGACAAAGGGGCTGGCAGAGGATCAGGGAGACAAGACCAGGGTATGTTCTGGAAGTAGCCTCAGAAGACAATCACAAGATGCAGGGAGACTGGGGCAAAATGAATATGGGAAGAGAAGAAACTGGGGCAGACTGGGAAAAGGAAGCAAAGGAAGCTTTGTAATGCAGCAGAGCACATCCCCCTCACAATTTGGAGTGGATCTCAAAATCCCCCGGTCTCATCTTTAGTCAGCAAGTAGCTGTGAAACCCAATAAAAAAAAAAAAAAGTCCCATACTTTTGTGGGTGACAATCAGTTACTCCATTAGTCTAAAGTTTAGAAATTCTTACACAGGATAGAAATGTTTGAACTTTACTGATGGAAGACAACCTAATGCCATGTGCTGGCCATTTTTTTAATGAAAATATTTCATTATGAATAATAAACTACTTTAAGATAATATTAAATACATAAAATCAGAAAGCTAGGAAATACTGATAGATCTGCAAAACAGGAATAATGGTATTTACCTCCTTTATAGAGCATATTGGGACTTCCTGGTCTAAAATAATAGGTTTTAATGACTGATTATCATACTTCTACACAGTTTTAGTACAACAAGATCCAAGCCACTATTGGGATCTTTAAGAACTGTTGTGTTATAATTAGTGAATAACATCAACCATCAACTTTATAGGAAGGGAGAGGTAATTCTAAAGAACTGCTTATAAACCTAATAGGGAAAGGAGATAGATCTAAATAAACTATTATAATTTTCCTCCCAATTTGTATAATAACACTGTCCACATGAGACATTAGGGAGATGGAAATATTATAAATGCTTTATCATAATAGAGAATCTTTCAGAGAAATCATAGGCACTCATTTTAGTTGTGGCCATTACGGAACATTACGCTTTAAGGGATCTAAATGTATGAATCTTCATGTCCTTGTGTTCCAAGAAAATAGCAATAAGCATATAACAAAGATTAACTTTATACCAGCTGGCATATAAGTGGCTTGATACTGAGAAAAGAGAATAATAAACCACACTTTTCTACTCCCTCTCAGCCCCAGCAGTTTGTTGAAGACACAATGAAAATAAGTAAAAAGAAATAAACTGAATTAAACAGTGACTCCTTTTTCAGGCTATTGCTGTTGTGTCAGTAAAGCAGCACTGATTTCACCATTGGTCAGTTTTATCCCAGTTTAAAACCCAGGAGTTTTGTTATGATAAACAGTGTTAGGAAACATATTTCATTTGTGTTCAGAGAGATGTAATGAGCTCCAAAGAAAAGCAGTTCAGGTGGAGTGTGTGAGTTCAAAAGCAGCCTAGAGGTGTTTGGGTTTGGTTTGGTTATTTATTTTTAGCTGGAGATAGATATTTAATTCTTCTTTGCTGTATCCTTTAATTTCTATAAATTCTATAGAAAAATTCTATAAATTCTATTTCTATAAAGTCCCTGGCAGGTGTCCCATTAAAATAAGGACAGATGCCACTGTAATGTCATTTAAGCTCTCATTGACACTGCACAGGGCCACTAAGATTCACCTCATTCCATAGTACAGGCTACACAGTGGAAATAAGGAGCTGACCCCAAAAGTTACCTACAAAAATTCCACCCAGTGTGTACCCCCTTCTGTGTTCTTTCAGCACCCTATTTGCTGGATTAGTTGCCCTCTTGAAGATTTCAGGGAGATATTAAAGCAAAAAATCTGACAAAATGCTTCCAACCTTCTGCAATTTTCACTAAAATGAAGCCAATTCCATTACAATAAGACCTTAAAAATAATTAAAATAATATTAGGTAATTCAAGAAAAAGGTTTACTTTTAGCATCATTATCTAGTTTTATTATCATTATTCAGTGATTTAACTTTAAAAAGAGATATTTGAAAGATTGCATCTTTTTAAAAGCTTTTCAACAGAGTTCCACCTGCTTATGTCAGTGCAATTAAAAACCTCTACTCACACCTACAACTTTTACAGCCTAAACACAAAACTTAGTGAATTTAATATCACATATTGCAGAACTGGCAGCTCCTAACCAGCATTTTCATGTTTGTACTGCAGACAAACCTAAACCAGGATGGAAGCAAAGGATCACACCCCAACATCAAACATTTTCCTGCATGAATAATGTTTTTTAGTGAAGTCTGTTAAGAAGATTATGATTCAGGAAGGATACTCCCCTGAAGTCAGCACACAGCCATGGGTACTTTTTAAAGCACAGTTTTACAGGGCTGGAAGGGAACACTTAATTTGCAGCACAGACTAAGATTTACTTGCCTGATAATATGCTTGGAGTGTGCTGAAAAACTTATTTTTTTCATTTCAAGCACTTCTGAGTATAATTAACCTGGGACATGAGAAAAACAATTCTATTACCCTTTCTAAAATGTTTTTCTCCTGTGGATAAACCTCTCCCACTTGATTTTTTTATTTTTTTTTTTTCCTTTTGCTTCATTTTAAATAGGGCACTTGTTGTAATACCACAGGGATTTTTGGATTAGTTCTTTATTTGTTTTCTTTTTATCTAGACATCAATATTTAACTAGAACAACTTATTTTTTAAAATATGTTTATAAACTTTTTTTTTCCCTAGTAAAATAATAGAGATTAGTATTAAACACAGAAAAAAGATGAGTACTATCATTTATCAAAACTACAGTTTATCAATCAGGAAGATTAGATAGATGAGATTTGGTAAATATCAGAAAATCAGAGTTTGATAGCAATGGTGAAAAGGTCTATAACAGAGTAACCTATCATTTCCTTATTATCTTCTCCAAACTGCCATCTACCTTCATATTTTTTATTAAGAAGTTCCTATCAAGATTTGATATCCACAGTTAATATTCCCCATAAAGGGAAGGAGGAAGCATAGCAAAATAAAATCAAAGGTCAGTGTTCAATATGCTCAGAAAACTGGCAGTTAAGAGCTTGTAGAAGGCAAGTGGAAGGGAAACTGGAACTCCATCCAATGGTCTGCTCCACAGATAAAATACACTACAGAAATAAACTCAAATTATTCCAGAGATGAAGCAGGATAGGAAAGATGGCAAATTACTGAATTTGATAAATCATATTTTCTTCATTAATCTCTAATGAAATGAATACAGAAAAGAGAAAACGGGCATGTTGATGATTGCTGCTTGTTTGCTTATACAGGTAAGAAAATGAGATGGAAGTAAGAAGAAACTTCTGGGTAATAAAAAAATGACATCATTAATTACACTCATAATTATCATTTTCAAAAGCAGCTAGTTGTGAGTTGAATCAATTCACTTTAGGGAAGATGGCTCAGGCTACTTTAACAGCCAAACAGATCAGATAGTGCTCACAAGTTTCCAAATTGGCTGATCCTGATGAAATACTCTAGGATACTTAAAAGAACTGTCTAAAGCAGTGTCAGAACTGCTGATGGGACCCTTGTAGAATGAAAAAATAGACTAGAAGATTGGAAAAGAGCTTAGTGACTATGTTTAGAAAGGGACAATGGATCTGTTGAAGAATTCTAACCCTAC